AGGATTACCGAAGAGGTGTAATTTGTTAATTCGAAGTGATTTTTGCGTTAGATTGGAAAGTAAAGATTTTTGGTGCAAGTTTTGTAAATTTCTTCGTGTGAGTGTGGAGAAGAAACTTGTGTGAGCCATTTATAAAACTTTTTAAATTACATAGTGAAATTTGTTGCAGTGTCGCTCCGCGGTTTTTTCCCGTTTTCAGGTTTTTTCAACTTAAAATTCACGTGCGCGTGTGTGTGTGTGTGTGTTTTTTTTTTGTTGCTTTGATTGTGCTTTCTTGAATTTTTGTTCTGATTTTCTTGAATTTTGTGATGCTATTCTGCGGTGAAATTAGAAGGCGACTCTTTCGGAATAGTTTCCTTAACAAACTAGTATCAAAGCAGGTGGACTTCAATTCAAGTGGGAGCAGTGGCCGAAGAAGCATTGTTCAAAGTGGAGAAATCAATGGGACGAACTTCACTTTCTAAAAGATGCAGTTGGAAGATTTGTTGTATCAGAAAAAATTGTATCTGCCACTACGAGGAATCACAAAAAAATCTGAATCTATGCCTATGGAGGAATTAGAAGTGTTGGATCGAACGATACTGGGTTTGATCAGTTGACACTTTCTTCATCCGTTGTGTTCAACATTTTGAATGAGAAAACTACGGTGGATCTCATGGCGGCACTGGACAAGACATACAAAAATCATCTGCTTCCAATAAGGTTTTTCTTATGAAGAAGTTATTCAACATAAAGATGGTGGAAGGCAGTTCAGTGGCAGAACATCTCAATAACTTCAACACTGTGAAGAGCCAGTTGTGTCAGTAGGGATCAAGTTTGATGATGAGATCAAAGCAATGGTGATACTATTTTTATTGCCTGAAATTTGGGATGGCTTGGTAACGGCGGTGCAGAATTCTTCAGGGACTTCGAAGCTGAACTTTGATGATATCGCAGATCTGATGCTAACTGCATAAGTTCACAAAAAAGAATCAATTGGTGAATCTTCAGGTTCTGCATTGAATGTTGATAATAGAGGAAGAAATATGGGCAAGAATGCATTTAGAGACAGATCCAAGTCTAAACATTGTAGTGATCATAAGAGAAAAGCTATGTAATCGGTTTCTTATGCTAGTGTAGTGATTTGTTTGATGTATGTCATAATTTATATTAGACCAAACATTGTACAAATAGTTGATGTTGTGATTCATGCATGATTTAGGAAGGAGTCATTGAAAGATCGTGAAGACTATTTTGACGTATTTGAAGGGTTTTCAGCTCAGTGTTTAAAAGACAATCTTTTATTGCTAATTTGTGGGTGTGCTACACTAATTCAGATGATGTATGTGATATGGATAGGCGTAGGTCAATGATTGGCTATTTATTCACATTATCTGGTAGTCTAGTCAATTGGAGATTGGTTCTTCAATCTAATGTTGGTTTGTCAACTTCAGAGGCTGGTACACGGCAATCACAAATCTGATGAAGGAAGCGATATGAATACATAACCTACTTGATGACTTAAGAGTTGATTAAGAGTCTCTGATGGTGTTTTGTGATTGTCAGAATGCAATATTATTGGTCATAAATCTAGTTTATCATGCTCGTACCAAGTTTATTGATATGAGGGACCCCTTTGTTCAAGACTTGATTGATAACGATAATGTTCTATTCAAGAAGATAGATACAAAGGAGAATTCAATAAACATGCTCACAAAGCTACTATCAGTTCGGAAGTTCACTTACCATAGGATTTTGATGAATATTCGAGCTCGTGAATGATTACCCATTTTGGCATTTTGAAGAACTACGTGAGGTAGGCTTAATCCCTTATGGAGGAGGGTATGTAGGCAATCATCTTGGTGCAATTGTTTTTATATTAGAGCTTATTTTTGTCATCTCCCACTTATCTGGAAGTGAAAGACGAGTGCATATTCTTATGAAAAGTGTTAAATCTAATGGTCGTATATTAGGAAGATTGATATTAGGTAATAAATTTTGTTGAGATATAATTACAAGACAATTTCTATATTAGGAAGTTTCATCTTAGGTAATATAATTAGAAGAGATCTAATTACATGATCTTCTCTATACTAGAAATATTCTTAATTTATATGTCCTATATCCCTCTTATTTATTGAAAGA